CTTTTGGTCATTGCTTTAGTATCAATAAAGTTATTTTTCTTATTTTTGTTTATTGAGGAAACCTACATTTTGAGTCACTGTCCCACTTCTTGCATTTCCTCGCGTCTTTACCCTATTCGATCATTAGATTAATTAGGTTTTCTTAAGTGAGTTCCCCCAGCATTTAGTTTTATTTAGTTTAGTCGAGCGGTCCATTTTTCCCGATTACATTTCCGCAAACCTTCGAAACTGCGTTTTCTCTTTTCTCAAAAGTATAGAATGCGCTGAAATTGCAACAGGTTACTAGATATACACCCTATACTTCAGATTTTGATCAATTTTGTTGCTTTTAACCAAAAAAAAACACCAAGGGCAAAAGATCCTATGTTCCTCTTAATTGTTCAACATTGCTCGAATTTGAAGTTGCAGGAGTCACAATTAAGGAGCATACATATTCTGCTTTAATTAATCGATCTCATGTCAAAAAATGTCAAAAAGACTCTCATTGCCGGAAAAAGTGTGAGTACATCGAACCAGGATTTCATGTTTGACAATTAAAATAATAAAGTAACATCGCAGCGGGGAACCTGATGTAAATCACAAGTGCGTAAAGTATTTGGAATAAGTACGAATCACGATCAATTTCAACTGTTCTGAATCACAGCAGGGAACCTGATGTACTGTACCCTTGACAAAAAAAATGCAGCCAAAATGTGATCAAAACCAGTCGAACCTGAACAACCGTGTTGTTGACAATAACATATTCCAAAAATTTAGTTCGCTATCCATAGCGACAAGAATCCAAATGAGTTTGCGAAGAAGTAAAGAAAACAGTCATTATTTTGACAATTTCGTTTTGAGAGTCCAAAATGGAAGTAGTAGCGGAAATATTGTCAGACAGGAATTCCTCATTCCGAACAACAAAAACCTGATATGTTTGTGTGATCGTGTACGACCCGATCACGGTTTTGAAATGGTAAGAATTATTTTATCCCTTTCTTTCCTTTTTTTTCTTCCTTCTTTTTTATTCCAGGCAATAATTCTGTACGATTTTTTTTCCTCAACGGTACATGGTATAAACTGGAAACCTTGAACAAACACCAACCCTGAATCCGAAGTGAGTATATAACTCTGACGTCATAATGACGCCATCAGGTATCAAATTACAAACGATTTCAATGCCACAAGCTTATTGACAAAAAGAACAATCATGTTTACACTTTATAATCTGATAGATGATACCTTGATAAACATTTCTGATTTTCGAAAACAAAGTCGTCTGACCTTTCCTTCCGGGGTTATCCCGGTTAAATTAAAGATTTATGCAAACAATTAACCTTTAATTAAAAACAAATCTAATTCCTTCGAAACGGATCAAGGAAAAAAGATGAACTTGAACCCTGGTCCAAAATATTCAGGAAAAAGTTGTGACGGCATCATGACGTCATCGGTTATTTCAAACGATTCATCACGGTCAAATTTACTTCGAATTATAACTTTACAAAGAAATGGGGGCGTTCCCACTTTTTGTAATGTTGTGGGCATTGCCTCAGGCAAAAGCTTTTGTTCCCAGACATACCATCTGTTTGTCAAGTGTCAATCGAATGTGTCTCAGAAACTCAAAATATTCATCAGAGAGCATTTTGTTTTAGAAGGGATAATTGAGGCGACTAATCATCATGGCCAGGAGGATATTTTCATAAGGGATAATTAAGGAGACTAGCCATCACGTCTTGGAGGATATTTTTGAAGAGATAATTGAAGATACTAACCATCATTGCTTGGAAGATATTTTTAGAAGGGATAATTGAGGAGACAAACACTCATGACAAGGAGGTATTTTTGAGAAGGGATAATTGAAGAGTCTAATCATCTGGCCAGGAGGATATTTTAAGAAGGGATTATCGAGGAGACTAATCATCACGGCTAGAAGGCTATGTTTTTTTAGAAAGGACAATTGAGGAGACTAACCATCATGGCTAGGAGGATATTTGAGAATGGATAATTGAGGAAACTTATCATAACGGTTAGGAGGATATTTTTAGAAGGGATTATTTAATGAAAACCATCATGGTTCGGAGGATATTTTTTGAAGGGATAATTGAGGAGACTAATCATCATGGCTTGGAGGATATTTTTGTAGAAGAGATTATTGAACACACAATTTATCCATCACGGCTTGGAAGATACGTTTTAGATGTGATCATTAAGGAGACTAACCATCATGGCCTGGAGGATATTTTTTAGAAGGGCTAAATGAGGAGACTAACCATCATGACTAGGGGGATATTTTTTTAAAGGGATAATTGAGGAGATTAATCATCACGGCTAGGAAGATATTTTTGAAGGGATAATGGGGGCAGACTAACTATCATTGCTTGGAGGATATTTTTTAGAAGGGATAATTGAGGAGACTTATAATTACGGTTAGGAGGATATTTTTCAGAGGGATTAATGAATGAAAACCATCATGGCTCGGAGGATATTCTTTTGAAGGGATAATTGAGGAGACTTATCATCACGGCTAGGAAGATATTTTTGAAGGGATAATGGAGGAGACTAACTATCAATGCTTGGAGGATATTTTTTTAGAAGGGATAATTAAGGAGGCTATTTATCACGGTTAGGGGGATATTTTTCAGAGGGATTATTGAATGAAAACCATCATGGCTCGGAGGATAGTTTTTGGAGGGATAATTGAGGAGACTTGTCATCTTGACTTGGAGGATATGTTTCAGAAGCGATTATTGAACACACTTTCCATCACGGCTTGCAAGATATTTTTTGAGAAGGGATAACTGAGGATACTAATCATAACGGCTAGGAGGATATTTTTAGAAGGGATAATTGAGGAGACTAACCATCATGGCTAGGAGGATATTTTTAGAAGGGATAACTGAGGAGACAAACCATCATGGCTAGGAGGATATTTTTAAAAGAGATTATTGAACACACAATCCATCACGGCTTGGAAGATTTTTGAGGAGACAAGGAGATTTTTGAGAAGGAATAGTTGAGGAGACTTCTCATCATGGCTAGGAGGATATTTTTATTTAGAAGGGCTTATTGAAATAAAAAAAATCACGGCTTGGAGAATATTTTTCAGACGAGATTATTGAACAGACAAACCATCAATGCTTGGAAGATAATTTTTAGATGTGATCATTGAGGAGACTAACCATCATTGCTTGGAGGATATTTGTTTTTAAAAGGGATGATTGAGGAGGCTAATCACCACGGCTAGGAGGGTTTTTTTTAACGGGATAATTGAGGTGACTTATCATCACGGCTAGGAGGATATTTTAAGAAGGGATTATTGAAATGAAAACCATCATGGCTTGGAGGATATTTTTAGAAGAGAAAATTGAAGTGACTATAACCATCATCACGGTGTCACACGTAAATCCGACTCCTATGAAAATCGGACCCCTATTTCCCTATTATTGGTTGATCCCTCGCACGTGACAGGTCACTCTCACGAAACGATCCTAAAAATAGCATAGTATCGTACTCACGCGTGCGCAGTACTACCAATGAGTCCACATTTCATGGAGTCGGATATTCACGCTACACCGGCAGTTTCACGCATAAAAAAGTACGCCCTCTGTTGGCGAGATGGAGTTAGTGGTAATACCACGTGACAACCTAGCGCGATGTAAATAAACCTTACGCACAGCGCTAGCGATCCCTTTGTTTCGTTGGTGGATTTAAATACCCCGCGAAAGATATAAAAATTGATTGGTTTATTAAAATGAATATGCAACAGATTACCAAATAAGGCTTTACAAACCATCAATGAAGTTATGTACGGTTGACAGTTGCCATCTAGCGTGCACAAATTATGATAATGTGTGTTTTTATGCAGCGTGTGACTTGTGACCTGGTACGATTTTAGTCCGAGTAACTTGGACCCAACTTATTTGGACATGGTCTGGCGATAGTGGGGTCCAAGCTAATACCGCGACCTGGACAACATCATCCTGTCACTGTCCCATCCCCAAAAAACAACATAATGAGTCACGTTTGTAAACACATACACTGTACATGTGCATTTCGAACTGTAAAAGGGAATCGGGAACCAGCTTGAACTGGTACCCGCCATAAAAGCTGCGCTAGTTCCCGACTCCCTATTATCGTTTGAAATGCACATGTGTTTACAAACGTGATCCAGTCTACTCATTATCATAATCGATGCGTCGCGCGCGCTCGGTAACGGAATCGCACTCGGGATACGGGGACCATCGAATGTACGCTGGGCATGTAGAGGTTAACGTGTTCAAGATCGCGAGGGGAGCTCTCCGAAATGAACGGAAAATTTCACTTTTTTTCCGGATCGTAAGTAAACTTCAGTACAACCATCTTAATTATCGATGTCTACTTGTACCTTAGGTGGCATATCTAGTAATTTGGAGGCCGTTTTAAAGGTGAAATCTGATGTTTTTTGTTGGAAATGTTGGTTTTGGGACAGTGACAGGATGATGTTGTCCAGGTCGCGGTATTAGCTTGGACCCCACTATCGCCAGACCATGTCCAAATGTTAAAAAGGCGATAAGTTGGGTCCAAGTAGCCCCATAAATGTGGCCTATTTACTAGACTGCCTCCGTAAACATAGGCCACACATCCACATGTACAAAAATCGTGTCGACGGAGCCAAATTTTGATTTTCACATTTAGGCTTAGTTTGTAGGTTTTTTTTGCTTTAGAAGCATACTCACCCTCTTTACAGGCTAATCAGAAAGTGCTGCCTTTTTCAGATGTATATTTTTCGTGAAATTTCCAGATTCATTTTTACACGTTTGCGTATCAAAATTTCAACATGAAATTTCACAAAAAATATACATCTGAAAAAGGCAGCACTTTCTGATTAGCCTGTAAAGAGGGTGAGTATGCTTCTAAAGCAAAAAAAACCTACAAACTAAGCCTAAATGTGAAAATCAAAATTTGGCTCCGTCGACACGATTTTTGTACATGTGGATGTGTGGCCTATGTTTACGGAGGCAGTCCAGTAAATAGGCCACATTTATGGGGCTAGGGTCCAAGCTACTCCGACTAGTACGATTTAGCGTTTTCGTGCCGTCATTTCCACTTCGAGAAAACATCATTTATAAAGTAAAATGCAGTTTTGTGACGCATAGCCTACTTGGTCAATCTATCAATAAATGAGTTATCTAGGTTCACGTTGATATGGACGAAAGGTTTGGGACGACATGCTTTCGTGAGATTTTAGCCAATATTGATGGTGAATAAAACAGGAATTCGTCAAGTCGCAACGTACGAAGTGTACATGTGTCATGGCGTGACGAGTGGGGACCTTCGTGGCCATGTTTTGGCATGATTTCGGAGATTCAGACGGAAATCTCAAAGGTAAGCCTATAGATTATGTATTTACTCTGCTCAGAAGATGTAGTTTTTGTAGTTTTTCCTTGTTTTTAGCCTGCGACACAAGGATTTTGTGTACGTACGCCGCGCCATGACAGGAAGTTATTACAGTAATGTCGTACATGAAACAGTCGTAGTGTAGGCGCCTTGAGCTATCCCATAGCACGCACTTTTGGACGACGCAACGACTCGTGTATGTAGAAGACTTTCATCTAAGAAATATTTCTGCCCAGTGTGCCTTGCTAGTTGCAATTACCCAGAAAATCGTATTCGTAATAAATAATCACAATGCATTCCTTAATCCTAACAGTAACAGTCCTGAATCCTCCAATTTCATTATGATTTTTAAATTTCATGTAAATTTTAGTCAGCGTGGTCAGGATTTGCTGGCAATGGCATGCATCATGCAGGAACATGAATGATGATGGAGGAATGGAGGTCATTCTTTGCAGGCAGGAGCCTGACATTGTTCTTGAAAACTTCTCAAGGAAACTGTGTACTGTACATGTATGTTCTAAATGCGTAAACAAAGGATTTGACATGTAGGCCCTACATGTAGGTTACATTGCCAGGGCCGTCAATACATTATGCTATTTCTTTTTTGCCCTCACTCAGTCATATAATTGTACTTTTTTTTTTGTAGAGTATTTTTTCCATTAATTTCAAATTTGACCTGGGACTAAAATGACTTGAGACTTACCCCCTTAGTTGACATTGGACCGACTTTTATACATTTGTACCTGGGACCAAGTTGACCTGGAAGTGGAACTGAGTTGGCCATGCTGTCTCAGACGGTCAGACCCGTCTGTTAGGGACCGAGTCGGTAACAGTGGTTGTTGGGTACGGAGTTTACTCGAAACCCATGTAATGCATGCTCTTGTTCTTGTTGTGTACAAACACAAACGTCACGTAACTGTACATGAACTTGAATGTGTACTTTAATTTGCCATCTAGACCTATGGGTTGTCTCTCGGACGCTGTGGAGGAGGTTTGCCTACAGTTCTTCTTATGCGGAGTGTACGGCATTCCACCATGACACGCAGATGACGTACCCTGCCCTGACGAAGGATACCTTCAGAAAATTTGACAATTTTCATCGGTGAGCATCTTGATATTATTTTACTTAGAAATTGATCATGGCATGTATGTACATGCATGTACATACATCATGTACAAGTACATGTTTACATGTACATTGTACATGTATGTCTGTGCCTATAGAAAAAGATAAAATATGAAACTTTCTTATCTTCTATAGTTTTTAACACTCATATTCAATGCAAGAAAAATCCCAGCAAAGGCACAGACAACAATCTTGAAAATAACCTGGCAATAATTTTCAACAGAGACTTTTGAGACGCTTCCTTTTACCTGTCCTTTTCATTTTTTTTACGTCACATTTAACCTAATGTGCACATGTTCAAATTGACGTTCAGAAAAGGACTGGTGTATTTGCTGCCACCATGCATCTCAAAGTATCCCTTTGACTTTGTTCCATTTGTTATATTCTTGTTGTGCTTTCAGGTTTTGAAGAGTTTCCTCCTATTTCTGGATTGAAGATGGCAACGACATGCATGGCCGGGTATAATGGACGAGCTTTGGATTCCTCCGCATCTGATCTGTACTACCCACCCATTGCGATTGAACTCCGTATCAGTTCCTGACCATGCCATGACATGGCCATGTTCATTCAAACAGCCCAACCCCCACTCTGAACCTTTCTAAATAGTCCATGGTGTGGAGTACATGTACAAATACTTTTAGTGTGATCTGAATTGGGAGTGGTAGGTGTAGTCTGTTCGCTGCCTCCCTGTCCCATATGCTTGAATAACATAGTTGACGTAAACATTTCATAATGAATGTCTTACTGCCGGGGGGGGGGGGGGGGGTTGAGAGAATTGAGATAGTTTGGGAATTTAGGAGATAACTGGAGGTAATCTTTGATCAGGACAGTTTCTGTTTTGTCCTTATTGCCATTTCAGATGGTATATATCTTGTCAATGTCACCACAAACTGACACTTGCGCACACTTGAGTATTTACAGATTCGGGATATTTTGGGTTTCACAAACTGACATCCCCCACAGTGCAACACTTTTAGAGCGCACCCATGCATTTTCGGTTTCACGAACTGACACTGATCTTAATTTTACCAATTAAATCGCTTTTTAATGCAAAATTTGTACATGTATAATCGCACAAGTACACGGATATTGCCGCATCATGCTTGGGTGTCAGTTCGTGAAAACAAAAATGTACGGGGTGCGCTCTAAAAGTGCCGCACTGTGGCGGATATCAGTTCGTAAAACCCAAAATATCCCGGTTCTGTAAACACGCGCGCGTACAGCGCACACACGGGTGCGAGAGTGTCGTTCGTAGTGACGATGACAATCTGTACCTGATTTCATGAAACTTATTGTAACCTACGATGCATCGTTGTATCCCTAGGATGACGCATCCTGTGATTCATTTTACAAAATATGCTGACAAAAGGTGACTACATGAACATGTTCATGTTTTTTCATGTTATGTATTTATTCAAAGAACAGTAGTCGTCGAAAAGTCAACAAAGAGTCGTCGATTGTACTTGTGAAAACTTTTCTAAAATATTTAACAAAATTGACGATGTATGATGCATTCACACTGGAAAAGAACTTCACAGTGGACTGTGTTTGCATCAAATTGTGAAGCGATGTAGTGCTTTGTAAATCTGGGGGGGGGGGGCAGGTCATCCAGGTACGTGTACACGTACGTATGTGAAATTTTAATTAAGCGAAAATTTGAAACCTGAAATTGCCATCACCACCACTTATGAAATAGTGCAGTTGAACTGCAAGCTCCTTTCTCCAACAAAATATTAATAATAAATAAATATAAAAAAAACCTTTACTGTCTTCAGGTGTGAGGGTATGCTTAAATCCATTTGCCCTTTCATAAAGTTGAATTTTTGAATCACTTTCTTGAATCAACTGCAACTACCCTACTTAATTTTTCAGACTTTTCATAGTTTTATAACTTGCCAAACCTGATTTCACTAGTTGAGTTCATGCCTGCATTACATGTGCACTTTATTTACTTGTAAAATATGGCTGTTGTGAAGTTTCACTTCTGTAAATGAAACTTTTTTTTTAAATGATATGGATTGGTTGTGAAATAAAGAATGCGTTTATTGCCAAACAAAAACCTATTTGTTATTGTTTTGTTTAAGCTATAGATCCAATTAATTGTCAGCAACTTCCCCCAGAAAATTAAGAGGATAGAGTGTCTAGCTATACTGATGGCAAATTCATGCTTGGTTTTGGATTGTGCTGCTTTAATATGCTGTACAACACTCACTCACTGTACACTAAACATTTGTGAATTCGGATTGTGTGTTTATTTTGTCCACAGTGAGTGTTTTCTTCTAAAGACAGATATAGATGGTTCTTTATTTCTATGTAATCTGTTTTGCATTTTATGCATTTTTTTTCAATGTCTTGCGATCGTCCCGAATGCGATGGTTTTACGTACGTACACATGTACAATGTACATGTACATGTGTACATGTTGTACGGCGCTTTTGTGTACACAACACACGCGGCGCTAGGCCAGTTGGTACCCGCGCGCCAGTTTGCATGTATTAGTGGGATACTAGATCGTAAACCAGCGATGCAGCAGCCCGAATTCTAAGCGAAGCTTTGGAATTGTAGTCTGACTTTCAACGTCTATATTTTATTTTAAAATGTCGACCCGACCAAGAAAAAGTATGATTTGGCTATTTTCATAACTGAATAATGGTATCAACATAAAGATTTCTTCTGAAAAACTGCGTTTCGCTTTTATTGAAGGCTTTTAAAAGTCTTCGATACGCGAATACATTGAAATGTTGGCGAAAATTCCCCTAAAACACACCTTAGCATATAAATTATACCCCTTTCTCATTTATTCCTAAAGAAAACATCATATCCCGTCATTGCCTCTCATTTATGATAATAAAACATATTTCTAAAGTGTCTAATTTTGACATTATTTGGGACGAAACATCGATGTTTTTTTCTGTATGTGGACGGCGCCATGTTGTGTGACGTCACCGGCATCATTGGAGTTCACAAATACAGCACTAACGCATTACAGAACCTTTTTGTGTGTACGCGCTATGCATGTGGAACTGCCGTGTCATGGCTTGGAGGATATTTTCTAGAAGGGATAATTGCGGAGACTCACACTCATGACAAGGAGGTATCTTTTTAGAAGGGATTATTGAAATGAAAACCATCATGGCTTGGAGGATATTTTTTTAGAAGGGATAATTGAGGAGACTAACCATCATGGCTTGGAGGATATATTGAGAAGGGATAATTGAGGAGACTAACCATCATGGCTAGGAGGATATTTTTTAGAAGGGATAATTGAGGAGACTTATCATCCTGGCAAGGAGGATATGTTTTAGATGTGATCATTATTAAGGAGACTAACCATCATGGATAGGAGGATCTTTTCTAAAGGGATAATTATTGTGGAGACTAATCATCACTGCAAGGAGGATTTTTTTTGATAGAGATTATTGAAATGAAAACCATCATGGCTTGGATGATATATTTTAGAAGGGATAATTGAGGAGACTAATCACCACGGCTAGGAGGATATTTTAGAAGGGAAAATTGAGGAGACTAAACATCATGGCTAGGAGGAATTTTTTGGAAGGGATTATTGAAATAAAAACCATTGTGGCTTGGAGGATATTGTTTTAGAAGGGATAATTAAGGAGACTAACCATCATGGCTTGGAGGATATTTGTTAAGAAGGGATAATTGAGGAAACTAACTATTATGAATGGGAGAATTTTCTTTAGAAGAAATTATTGAACGCACAAACCATCACGGCTTGGAAGCTATTTTTTTTTTAGAATGGATAATATTTTAGGATAGTAATCATCATGGCTTGGAGGAATTTTTTTTAGACGAGATTATTGAACAGACAAAGCATCACGGCTTGGAAGATATTTTTAGATGTGATCATTGAGGAGGCTAACCATCATGGCTAGGAGGATATTTTTAGAAGGAATAATTGAGGAGACTATGGCTTGGAGGATATTTTTTTAGAAGGGATAACTGAGAAGCCTAACCATCATGGCCAGGATTATTTTTTTTCGTAGAGGTAATTGAATGACGTTTTCTGGTTTCTAATTTTGATCAAAAATATTAAATGCATAGAAAAAAAGGAACAGTCTCCTACCAAATCACTGCTCTATTCTGATGCTTGAATGAAGAAAATTTTAACAGACACTCACCTAAGCACAGTTCTTGAATTCTCTCGCGGAAGCACTCTTCAACACTTCAGCGGATTGCTGGCTGAAAAAAATACCAACAAAAATATGAGTCATTAAAAATCCTCTAGGAGATAACTTGGAGTCTGGTGGGGAGGCATGGCTGAATTCCACAAGTACAATACGGCCAAAAAAATGTCTGTACAGTGAAAATGTAATTTGGGTTGACTATTTATCTCAAATGCGTTCTCCAAAAATCAAATCTATCCATGAATTCTACAAAATGCATCCAGCTATTGAACTTGTATAAAACTGTGTGCATCATCATGATCCAGTGCGTTTGTATTTGCGCCCTCTAGTCTATTCTGACCAGTGACACTTTTATCCTGCAATGCTTAAAAGTAACTTGATGAAACCGGAATGGCGCACTGTGAACTATAGCAAAATGTCAGTTGAACAACAGAGTTCAAAGGCACTGAGAATATCCACAAATAATAACACATATAAGACCGGCATTTTGAGATGTCCGGATACCTGTATACGTTCTTCCGTGACCAACTTCCGCATAACTTTTCATTCTGATTGAGTTTGAGTGATATCCGGAAATAATATGAGTACATTGCACTAGGATTTCATGTTTGGAAATTTAAACGATAAAGTCAATAGGAAAAAAAGGAGGCAAAAAAAAGAGTGTGCTTGATCATGCCAAAAATATTGGCCAGGTTATAAAGAGTCCAGGTTTTGAGAGACTTTTTTTTGGAAACCGAAAATGTGAAACACCGATTTGTAGTTCCTCTGAAATATTATTTTGAATGATCAATACATCTTTACTGTTCTGAATCACAGCAGGGAACTTGATGTTTTATACTTGCGAAAAACTGCGGTCAGAAAACAGTCCAACCTAACAGTCGAACCTAAATAAAAAAGCCCATCAATGTGACTTCGTAGTGTATTATCCATATCGACAAGAATCCAAATGATTTTTGTTCAAGAAGTAAAGAAACCAGTAAGTATTTGGACAATTTGTTTTTGAGAGTGCACAATGGAAGTAGTAGCGGAAATATTGCCAGACAGGAATTCCTCATTTTTATTGCCTTGAAATTTGAACTCGCAAAACCGTGGTCTGCATCCGCACCAACTGTTTACATTATAAGAGCTGAAATAAAATAGCTCGATAATTTACAAAAGTGTTTGAAATTAACTCTTTCAGACGGGCTTAGTGAATGTTATGCACAAACAAAGTCCGTCTGAACAAGTTAATTTCAAACACATTTGTAAATTATCGCAATACTTTATCAACTCCAAAGTGGTCGTTGGGA